TTTTGGGGTACAACAGGGGGTTATGAGCAGTCATCTCCGCGATGAAATCGGCCAGAGCCTGGGCCTTCAGGGCCTTTCTTCTCTCGTACTGGACATCGAATTCTGAAAGTTCCAAGGACCATTTCAACATTCGGCCTGCCATGTCTGGTCGACCTAAGAGCTGTTTCGAGGGTTGGTTCGTTCACACAAAGATCGTGTGCGCAAGGAAATAGTGTCTGAGCCTTCTCGCTGCATTGACGAGGGCCAAAGCCACCTTCTCAATATGTTGGTATCTAACCTCGGGCCCCTGGAGTGCTTTGCTCGTGAAATAAATGGGTTTTTGTCCATTATGAGTCTCGCAAATGAGGACTGCACTGACGGCTTTGACGGAAGCGGCCAGGTAAAAATAAGGTCTCCCCGTCGGATGGTCGTGATAGCATGGGCGGCTGTGAGAGGATCTATTTGAGATGGAGAAAGGACTGTTCGCACTCTTCGGTCCACTCGAATGTCTCCTCCTTGCGAAGGAGTTTGAAGAAAGGCAGGGCGTGTTGAGCGGATTTTATAATGAACCGGGAGAGTGAAGCGAGCATGCCATTCAAGACTTGAATGGATTTTTTCGACGTGTGTGTAGGGAGGTCAGAGAAAGCTCGGAACTTGTTGGGGTTGGCTTTGATTCCTCGTTCCGTTAAGTAGAAGCCGAGGAACTTGCCTACCTTGACCCCGAACGTGCACTTCTCGGGGTTAAATCTTATTCTACACTGCCTTGTTTGGGCAAAGACTTCCCTGAGATGAGCGGCATGGTTGGTGTCTACTCGGGACTTGACAATCATGTCGTCCATGTATACCTCGAGCATATCTCCGATTTGGTTGCAAAATACTTTGTTCATCATCCGTTGATACGTTGCTTCTGCGTTTTTCAGACCGAATGGCATTACGTTGTAGTAATAGTTGCTCGAGCTGGTCTTGAAAGCGGTGCAGTGTTTGTCGCTTATTGCAATTGGGATTTGGTTGTAGCCCGAATAGGTGTCCATAAACGATAAAATTTTATAGCCAACCGAGTTGACGACCAGCATGTCAATATTAGGTAAGGGAAATGCATCTTTGGGGCATGCCCGGTTAAGATCGGTATAGTCAACACACATTCGCCATTTTTCATTATTTTTCTTAACAAGTACAACATTTGACAGCCAGGTTGAATACCGAGCTTCAGAAATAAAATTTTCCTCTAGGAGGTCTTTTACAGCTTTTTCAGCAGCCTCCACTTTCTCGGGAGACTGCCTACGCTTATGTTATACTACTGCCCTAGCGGCCGGATCAATGGCGAGTTGATGACAGGCAACCTCAGGGTCGAGACCGGGCATCTCTGCAGCACTCCAAGCAAACATATCCGCGTTCTTCCTCAAGCAGGCCTTGATCTGCTTTCTTGTTAAGTCGGGGAGTCCAGTGCCAATCTTCACCCCTCTGCTTGGGTCTTCACCGAGAGGGACGAGCTCAAAGTCCCCATCCGGAATTGGTCGGAGGGGCACCTGCTCACCGTTAGAGGGTTCGTCTTGGTCAAAGCGAGTGTCCAGCGAGATTGAGTTAACCTTTGGAGGGACCCTCTATTCCTCTACTCTGACGGGCTGTGGCTCTGACCGCTGAGGCTCTGGTTGCGCAGTTGTAGCTTTCTTGGCGGGCCGTGTCCTGATGTCGACTGTGTTGTGTCCCTTGGCCGTCGCGTTGAAGCATCTTCAGTCAGCTGCTAGGTCGCCTTGAATGGTGGCGACTTGTGCCCTCTTGGTGTAGAACTTCATCTTTAGGTGGACGGTGGAGGGTACCGCGGTCAGCTCTGCCAGTGTCGGCCACCCGAGCATGCAGTTGTAGAGGGATGGGCAGTCGATGACGAGGAAGTGCACCTTGACCTGCCTGGTAGCGGTATCCTCGCCAAAGGTGACCATAAGCTCCACGTACCCCCACGGCTTGGAGGTCGAGCCATTAAATCCCTGCAGGTTTGACCCCACATATGGTGAAAGGTGAGAGTCATCGAGCTGCAGGATTATGAACAGCTGGTTGTACATCACGTCGACGGAACTTCCCTCGTCGACCAGGACGCGATGGACGTCGAAGTTGGCCATTCTCGCCCTTATCAGAAGAGGGATGGCTGAATTGGAGGCCCCTCCGGGAAGGACCTCGATGTAAAAGGTGATCGGCTATAATATGCCTTTCACCCTTTCGAAGGTCACCATTTACGGGGGAGTCGCGTCGACCAGTTCGTTCAGCTTCCTCTTTGCTGAATTTATGGTCAGATCATTAAACCCTCCACCATTGATGACCATGGCGGAGGGGAAGTTTTTCCACCTGTTGTGCATAGACAAAGGCTCTTGCACCTGTTCGGGAACGTAAAAGTCCTCCGGTCTCGTGACAGAGAACGCGGTTTGGATGGGGACTGACTCGTTAGATGGTCGGGCATCCTCTTCTACTTCCCTTGTCTCACAGGCATCTCGACGAGGGGCGTCGCCTCGTTGATATTGCGCGAGTCTCCCCCTTTTACGAGGGTCTCGATGGCGTCCTTGAGATGGACACAATCTTCGTTCAAGTGCCAGTGGCTCCGGTGATACTGGCAGTACTTGCTTCGGTCTACCCCGAGTTTAGCAGGAGCGGGGCGAGGACGCTTGACGCCATCGTCCTTGAAGTCTGTATTTGCGCACTCCGCTAAGATGCGCTCGCGGGAAGCCGTTAGCGGAGTGTATTCAGTGAACCTCCCCGAGGGCCCCCTTTGTTCCCGGACGTCTCGGGGTTTGTCGTCCCTTCTCTTCTCGACATTTTGTCGAGGAGGGGCGGTATCTTGTCGCGGATTACTGGTAAATCCGTGATTCCCGGGATCCCGAACTCTGTTGGCCGCTTCTCTCTCCTCATAGTCCATATAGGCTTCGACCTTCTCGAGGAGGGCATCGAATGTTCGGGGTGGTTCGATGCCTACAGCCTTTCTGAATTCAGTGCCCGGGAGGAGTCCCCTCTCGAGCAGGTATCTTTTCATGTAGTCCGTGCATGGGACCTGGATGGCCTCCCGGTTGAACCGGTCAATAAATTCCCTCAGGGTTTCATCGTGTCTCTGGATGATGGCCTCGAGGGCTGCTTCGGTCTTCGGATGTCGTCGCGAAGCAGTGAACAAACTAATGAATTGGTTCTTCAGATTTCGCCAAGAGGTAATTGACCCCGGGGCGAGACCTTTGTACCAATCCATCACAGCTTTCCTCAGAGTCGTGGGAAACAACCGACATTTGATCAGTCCCCCGATGTTGTGATAGTGTAGCATGTCTTCAAACCCGTCTATATGGTCGACCGGGTCGACGATGCCGTCCTATTCCTTTAGATGGGGAGGCTTCTCCATGCCCGGGGGAATGGGTGCCTCCATGATAGCTTGTGGCAAGAGACCGCGGGGGTCGTCCTCGTCACTCCATTCGGGCGAGCGAGACAGAGATCTGATGTAGTGGCGGTCACAGTGGCCCTGGTCACGCAGAGCGGTCCTCGGGCGGTATGACCGTTGGTTTCCCCCGTTCTTGTCTCTAGGGGGTCTTCGTTCTTGATGCGAGGGGCCGTGATTGCACCTTCCCGCATCAACGGGATGTTCTCTCTCTAAGGCGGTTCGTCGCCCGATTGGTCGGGGAGACGGGCTTCGAGAAATGTCCCGACTACGTCTCTGCGGGGGAGATTGGGGATGTTCTTCTGTTTGTCGAGGAGGAGGAGATTGAGGTCTCCTGTGTCTTCTTGGGGGCCTCCGATCGTCTTCGAGCGTTCTCAGTCTTTCTCCCTGGGCGAAGATTAGGTAGTTGGTTTGATTGATTGTTGCGAACATTTTCTTGGTCGTGGCGTCTGCCCCAACGGGGACGGGGACCTCGTGGAACTGGACGTGTTGGTAGTTCTGGGGAGGTGGCCGATCATCTTCAAGTCGAAGAGGCAGAGATGATGACGAAGCAGTTGCTCCGTCTCTGTAGTCAGAAGGCCCAAACATATTGACGTCGGGGGCTGTGTTGTGGCCGACGGTATTGGTGTTGTCGAGGTCGGCAGTGTTGTCGGCGGTATTGGCATTGTCGAGGTCGGCAATGTTGTCGGCGGTATTGTTGTTGACGTTGATGATACGGACGTTCATGTTGTTTGGAGTCTGGTCAGCCATGACAGTCGAGGATTGTTTAGCTTTGGTCTCAAATGAATAGAAGACGGGGAAACAAGTTTCCCACAGACGACGCCACTGATTTTACCGGATCAGAAATGGACCGTCACAACTGGCTCAGGCAGAAGTTGAATGAGATGGAGGAGGGGGGTACCTGCAAGATACTCCGATGGCAAAGTAAGTAGCGGAATGAGCAAGCAAGTATGAGTCTAGAGATGTGAATTGAATACATGACCCTCTTGAGAGAGAGGGTATTTATAGCCCCCAGCGCTGGACCAAGGTTCTCACTCTTGGGCCACGTTGAGGCCCAATAACAGGAACTACCAGGGCTTACGTGTGTATGGAGCCCAACAAGTGGGCTCCCCCCTGGTCAACTGCTCCGCGAGAATAGAGTTGGACCCGTAATTTCCGAAGGGTAATTTAAGATGGCTGTCGTGGGATCGTGGGCCACGTCCTCTAACGGTCGGATGGGAAGTTGGCCAACAATCCCTAACTTGAACTGTCTTTGGACTTCCCTTCGAAGGACATGTGTAGACCCAATCCAGATCACCTCCATTCCAAAACCTTCAATTATTTCTACTTCATATCCTTTTTCTTTTAATTTTCTAATCTATTTTTCTTCAAACTCTAAAGCAAAACCTTAGTTAATATGAATTACATTCTTTTTTTCTTACTTAAATGTCACTTAATTATGATTTTCAATAAATTTGAAGTATTGTGTGAGTTTGTTTAGTCCTCATTTACGGTTCTCCTTTAGCTTACGGTTGATTTGTAACTTGCAACAAATGAAGCATGACCGTTACAAACTTATTATCATCACCAAGTTAGTTTCCTTCACCAATACTTTTCTTAACAAAACACATTCATAATCATGGCTACCACAATTTCACCAACAACATGCTTCATCTTTCTCCCTATAATAATTCTATCATCATTTTGTCCCATAACAACACTATGTGCCACAGTTCTAGAAGACCTCAAAAACTTACACAAACCACTAGATTTCAACACTACAATCATCAACAACTGCATCAGAAACCCATCTCTCAGATACTGCAATTCCTCTCCCATGATGGACCTTGATGAAATATTCAAACATACTATTGTTGCTAGTCATCTTTGCAATGAATCTAACAACCCAAATTGTGTTGAATCATTCCCCAAAATCGATCTTAGAAACCGACCAAACATTGCTCCTCTTTACTTGTCTTTCACTTTCTTTTGGAAATATTGTCCCTTGACTATTATGTCCATTGATTTCTCAAACAACTCTATAAAGGGTAGTTTTCCAAATGATGTTTTTTTCTGCACTCAGATTCAGTCTCTTGATTTGAGTATCAATGAATTCTCTGGTGAAATTCCAATTCAAAGTTTTTCTCCATTAACCAACCTCACTTTTCTTAACCTCTCTTATAACAGTTTCTCAGAGAGTGAAATTTCTGATTCACAGTTTTTCAAAAAGTTTAACTCTTCAAGTTTTCTTCATTCTGGTGCTCTCATTGATCACAAAAAGTTTACTATAAAAGCTATCATTTTATTGGTTGGTTTTCCTATTCTTGTCATTTTAATGGTGATTTTCTTAGGATGGCTTTGTTTTCAAAGACCTGATTATCTTCCAAGAATCCTTCAAAGAAGTGGGAGATTTACATTTACACCAGCAATTCTAAAGGCGGCGACTTTCGGTTTTTCCAACAAGAATTTGGTTGGTAAAAGTGAATTTGTTCACATATACAAAGGAGTGTTAAGAGATGGAACTAAAGTGAAAATTGAGATGTATTGGGATGATATATCAAGGGACAGTTATCATGAATTTGTTGAGGAATGTAAGATTTTGTCTGAGTTAAACCATAAGAATCTTGTTAAGGTTCTAGGGTGGTGTAAAGGGAGAAAATTTAGGGCTGTTATAACAGAATGGATAAGAGAAGAAAGTGTTGAAATGTGGCTTTTAGAGTCAGGTCCTTCATGGAATCATAGAGTGAAAGCTTTGATGGGAGTTGTTGAATGTATGTTGTATCTGCATGAGGAATGGCCTGAAGTTGATTATGATCTCAAGATAAGTAGTGTTTTGGTACATGATAGTCTTGAACCATTGATTTCAAGGTTTCAAGTTGGAGATAGAAACAATAGTCGAAAAAGTAAGAATCTTTAATACTTTATTATTATTTCTAATGGCTAAATCATGTTTTGGTGTACACAACTTCTTTAAGACTTTAGCCCTGCACACTTCAATTATAAACACAATATAGCATAAACACTTTAAGTTCAAGGCATCTTAAGAGTCTAATAGATGTTTGACGCATTTTTCTTAAATTGTCACTGTTACATGCGTCTGTTTTATATTAAATATTCATATTTGATTATACGTAAGAGTGACAAACAGATATGTCTGTCTCGTTTAAGTCTGTTTCACAAAAGATCGTAAAAATAGAGTATGATGAACATAATTGAGAATGTAGATCTAAAAATCATACTCCACATTGAACAAAATGAGCTTGGGGCGGACTTTACACCTCTAAAAACTAAAAATTATAAAAATTCTTGTTAATATCTGCATCCGAAAAAAACGAGACGGAGTATACATATTACACGGTGCGAGTCTAAAACTTTGGTTCAACTCATAAAAACTCGGAAAAAAACAGAGAGAGACAAAAATAGTTAAGGGTCAAACCTAAAACCTTGCCCTGTATCGCAAATGAGCATAAGACGGACAAGTGAGCTTTGCATTCCTAAAGGCTAAAAGTTATAAAAAAATTGTTAATGTCGGTGCCTGCAAAAAAGAGACAGAGCGGACGTATTAGAGTGTAAAAGCTTAAATCTTATCCCGCCTTAAAAAAATAGACATGTCTTATAGGTCGGACTCATTTTACCACCCCTAATCATATGGGTACCTAGTTGCTTGATGTACATTATATCAACAATGAAAAGTATATATAATGTGAATCAAGATTTCTTCCTACACGTTGTCTTTTTTCTTTTCTTGTTCTAATATCTTATTTGGTAATTTAATTTAACATTTTTTATTGTCTTATAGAGATATGCAAGTTTGGAATATTTCTGCTAGAGATGATACTAAACAAGAGGGTTCAAGATGATTTTGATGGAAATGACGATGGATTTATAAGCTACATGAGAACCCTTCATCCACCAGACATGCATAAGATGATTGATGAGAGAATGGATGTTACTGAAACAGCTTTGCATCATGTTAAACAGGTTCTATCCTTGGGATTAATGTGTATAGACCAATCAAACAATGAGAAACTACCAAGCTTTGCACATATATACAATATTGTATCAAAGGCCTATAAGGATAGCCTTGTTTTACCATATCATAAAACAACTCATGGAGATAGAGTTAAGGGACACAAGCGCGTTCAGTTCAAATAAGTTGGAATATAAGTGGATTTTTTTGTCTCTCTTATCTGTTATTTTGATTATACTTGATTTACTATATTAGTAGTTTTAAGCATGTCTTGTATTGTAGTTCTCTTCACTAACTTTTAGCTACACTTGTAATTTGGATTATTTGAAGCTGTGGTTGATGATTCAACAACCAACTGGTTGTGTGACAAGTCAAACTAAGTATATATTTAGATTGACTTATTTATGTTTATCTATTAATATGAATGTTTATCTATTAATATAAATACACTTTTCAACGGTTTATGAAAATAATATAGGACATGACTGTTTTATTTTTAATTTATTCTTATCAAATTTGTATTTTATAATATCTAGTTTAAGGGACGCTTTGATTTTTGAAGAATTTTGAAGGATTACATCTGTATTTTAATACATGAAATTTTAAAATATGTTTTACATTATAAAGGCTTAATCAAATTATTTATCAAAACATATTTTTAGCTTTATTTAATATTCATCTAGTATGTTGAAAACATGATATCTCATTTGAAAGGATATTTTAAGGCAAAAGTAAAAGTAGCTTTGAGACTTTCCTTTATGCAATTGATCTCGAGTCTCAGGCTCTTTGGAACATAAAATTTGACTAAAATACAAAAATAATCGTACGGTTCACATTTCCACCTAAAAATAAAATGCAATTTTTCATTTCACCTTTTAATATTGAGACATGTTTTTGAAAGTTTAAAAATATTTTTAGATTTATTTGGAAATACATCTTCAAACGCATCCTTCATAAAATAAGTAATTAATTGAGTTCAAAGATACATATTCAAAAACATTTAAAAAATTATTTATTATGTATTTTCATTGAAATTGACGCAGTGCAGTTGCTGGAGACTCTCTGTCGATTTTAACCAATATTAGAGTAATACGAATTGTATCCCCGCAGTGCAGTTGTTGGTCCTTGCGTTCTTGTGTTTTTGGCATTTACGCGACCTAATGTAAAAAACTCAGTTTTCTAGAAAATCGACTCTAAACCAAAATTTTATTGTGTCAGTTTATCTGAAAAAAATTAGAGATCGAAGTCCTATATTTTGGGAAAAAATACGGGGCACCATCCTAAAAACTTAAACTCCTTGTTTTTCTATTTTATTTGAAAGGTGCCTGGTAGTGGATTTAGATCTTGTACGCAACACCTCTTATAAACCTTATTTTACCTTATGTCCCTCTTCTTTGACTATGAACTTTACTGAACCTCAGGAAAAAAAAGGGTTTTTAGGGTGGTGCCTTGTAGTGGATTTAGATCTTGTCTGCTTCAAGGGTGTTGTCGGTGTCCACAGATGGGTTGCGATGTGTTCCGATAGTTGCAAGTTGTTGTCTGCTTTGGGTGTGAAAACCCTTATGACTTTGCTCAGCTTTGAATTGTGCTTTGCTTTGCACTCTATAATCTCAATCGGAGTTTCATTGTTACTAGCCCCAATTGAGAAGAGTTATTGCGCTAAGTCCTCGTCACTAGGAACCATCCATCTGTTGGAACAAAATTGGTTTGTACCACATCCCTTAGGTTTTTTTATGATAACAAAGTATTTAAAGAACAATTGAATATACTAACATTTATTCAAGTGCGCAAGAATATAAATTAAAATTCATAAACAAAGTCAATTTTGACACTGCATTGAACATCCAAAGTGAAGCCTTAAGATAAAAATTATGAAGATCAGACTCTGAAGAATCAGCTTCTGAAGGAGGTCAATTTTTGAAGAAAGTCAATCTCTGAAGGATCAGAACCTGAAGACTCGGACTCTAAACCTAGTCAAGGATCAGAACTTAAAGATCCAAGATTCAGAATGAAGTCAACTTCTGAAGACTCATATTTTGAAGATTCAGAACCTGGAGCCATTCAAAGCTCAAGGATCGAGAAACTCTGATAGGTCACTGTTGTACCCCAAAAATTTTCCTCCCATGTCTCAAAGATTTTTCTCACAAAAAAGCACAAAATTTGCTCCGATTGAGCACCTAACCTCCTTGAAGCTTGCTTCAAATTTCCAAGCTTCGATTGAAGCCTTGGCCTTTTTCTTATTTGCTGTATACAAGCTTCGACTGAGCATTTGTTTCCTTTGAAACAGCCTCCTTCGATTCAAAAGGAAAGAGCCTCCTGTTGGTGCTCCTTCGATTCAGAAGTTAGTGGCTTCCTACTGGCTTCTTTCGATTCATAGGATGTTGACTTCTTACTGGTTTCTTTCGATTCAGAAGGTGTTGGCAATGGCCTCTTGCAACTTTCCTTCGATTCAGAAGACAAGTGTTTTCTCTACGCTTGCCTTCAATTCACAAGGCAGGAACTTCCTTCATGCCAGCAGGCACAAGGCAATGGCCTCCTGCATACATTCTTCGATTGCACCATTGGCTTCACATGCTTGCTCGATTCAAAATGAAATGGTTACCTGCATGCCTACTTCGATTGAGCAAGGGGATCTGCAGGTTTATCTTGATGACTACCTACATGTGTTGTACCCCAATTTCCCCCCCTAAGATTCCTACATCATACCATATTGTTTCAATCACAATAAAATCACATTAGGATTTTTGGTTCTTCTCCCTATCTTTAGCCTTGCTCTTTTGAGGAGTTACCAAGCACCTTGACTTATTTTCTTTTATGATCATGGATATATTTCTTTGATTTTCTCTCTAATTAACAAAATACAATATTGGTTTGCCTTACTTGTTAATAATGTAGGTAAAGGCAATAAGGTTTAGCAAGTTGCTCCATGGGTTCATGAGTTTATTTCCATGCCCTAGTCAACATAGCTTGAGAAATTCAAAGCTCACCATTGAATTTGTTTTGGAAGAATTGGTATGGAAGTGGTTTTGGTGGCCATGAGTCCTCATCATCATCCTCAACAATTTTTATTCACAAAGGAAGAATATTGGCACAAAAAGTTTGTTCAAACTTGGCAAAGTTCCTCAAAGCATTCTCTTGATCTAGAGGCTAGGGTTTTGAACTCCAAAGGAGCATATCTTGCTCATATTTTGGTATTTTTGAGTGATTCCAAAAATATCTTTCTCTTCAAAGAGTTACCAACAAATTACTTCAAAAGTTCCAAGGAGTTTTCATGTGGAAGAAACTTGGTGAAGAAGAAAGATTACAAGTCACCCAGATGAATCCCTAACTTTCCATATGTGACTTCAAATGGTCATAACTTGGTCAATTTTTATCACCTTGAGCCCATTATTTTTTCATAATGATCTTAGGGATGTGTACTTCATGCCTTATTTTATGTGCAAAGTGAGAAAATGGATGGAAGTTGCCTTAAGAATGTAAAAGATTATAGATCATTTCATGATTTTTTGCCAACTTCAACAAGTCATAACTTGCTCAATTTTTGGTGATTTTGAGTGGTTCGAATTGAAAAATGTCATTCAAGAGGTCTACTTCATTCCATCTTTTTTGGTAAAGAGCAAATTCTAAGTGGAAGGCCATGTTTGGATGCAAAAGATTATAAGTCATTTTTAAAGAAGAATTTGAAATATTTCTAAGTATGGAAAGTCAACTCTTTTTCTTCAACTTTGACTCCGTGTAACTTTTATCTCAAGCATCCATTTGATTCCATTCTTTTTCCATTGCAAAGCTTGTAACCTCATCTTTTCAAAGCATCAAGAATTATGCCCTAAGACCCCTTGAGGTGGAAATGCCATGGATTTGAATTTGATAGTTTGAAACTGAATTTTGCACAAAGTCAGGATTTTGAAATCTTTGTTTTGGCTTCTAATCACAAGATTTCCATGCGTTTTTGTTTCTAATCATGTTTAGCAACTTGCCAGAAGTGATTAGCATCATGAAACACACGATTTGGCTAAGTTTTGATCAAGTTTGAGTCACACCTTCTTCATGATGCAAACCCACACGAATTCCCTCCAAAACGCATCATTTGCTATTCCTTTTGATCCCATTTGCTTCCCTATAAATAGAGGGTCATCCCTCATTCAATTTCCCAAGCTTAGATAGCCAGAATCACCCTGCCAAACTTGCTTCACAACCTAGAATTTAGCAACTTCGAAATCTATTCTCCAGCCTTTTTCAATCCATTTCCCTCAATTCACCTTCCTTAATCTTCCCTGAAGCTAAACATATAATTACATTCAAGAATTATGCCCTATACTGTTCCATAGAAGTCCAGTTTCAGAGCTCTGCAACTTAACTTTAATAGGTAGATTCCTTCACCAATTCTTCAAAACTCTGATATCATTGTGTTGCTCTCATTTCCCTGGTTCTAGTCGCAACACTTACATTTCACTGGAAGCACGTTTTGACCATGAATTTTCAAATCCCTTTTCAAAACTTTCTTTCCAAATTGCTTGAGCTACAATTTATATAAATTTGGCGCGAGGGTGTGGTTGTCTTCGTCTTGAAGAGACGAAGCAAATGGCATAGGTCTGAGCTTCTCATTTTACAGTTTGAGAGACATGCAGTTCGTGATGGTTGGAGGTTGAAGATGACCTACGTGTCATCTTCCAACCAATGATGGCGTGCCATTTGTATTTTTCAAATTCTGATTTTATTATTGATTATATACATTATTCATTAAAGACCATGATATGCACAGCGCGCCAGATCCCTTGGATTTGATTACTAACGCGTTTTGACTCTCATCCAATGGTCCACATCTTTTACTTTTATTTTTTTTCTTCTGATTTTTATATTTTAATTGTTTTAAATTTCAAAAAATCATAGAAAATTCATTTTTAGTCCAAAAAATCTGAAAAAATTATGAAAAATATTTTTGATTATTCTCTTTCTGACTTTTATTTTTTCACAATTTAATTTTGTGTTTTTGGTATTTTTTATAAATTTTACACTTATTTGATTTGTTTAAAATGTTTAAAAATACTTTTATACATTTTTAAATTCTGAAATAATTATGGAATGATCCAATGATATTGTGACAAATATTGATGACCTTATTTTTTTTCTTCTGACTTTGCTTTTTTTACTATTTTTGTTTATTTTATCCATTTATTTTAATTTT